ACAAATCATAAAATCCTATCTCCGTTTGACATTTCAACTAGCGCTACCTATCAACAAATTCTACAAACACTAACTCCTAGTTCAAATAACCTCCACTTACTTACAGCACCTTACAGAACCTTCTACTCAAAACAACAACTTCTATTTACACAATTTTTCATTTTGAAGCATTTCATTTTCCTAAGACAACTCAAATATTATCAATCCTATTTACAAAAATTATACCTTAAAATAAAACCTTTCTTTAAAACCCCCAATTACTTAAGCGATCTTAAACAAGCCTATTTAATTCTCATTTGAACTCTTCACATCCGCTCACAGTTCACTGACCCTCCCAACATCAACTCCAGACAAACAAACTTTCACTTCTCCAGTTTAGTTTAGTTATGTCGTTTGCGTGTGCTGTGTTTTTCTTTAGTTTTCCCTTAATTTATTTATCCCAGTGTGTTATATTCCCTGTTTTTATGTTCCCTCGTGTGTTTCGTGTGAAGTGTTTTGTGTTCTGTGTTATTTTCCCTGTTTACAAGTGCAAAATTAATCAAAATGTTCTTGTGCGTCCATTTAGTAAAAATCCCACTCATACACTCCGTTCAGACTCCATTTTAGATTCATACAGATTCATACTACCTTTTGCTGCCACAAATACTCACACATTCACCAATACATACACATTTATACACTCTCTTACTAAAAACACTTTAAAACTTTGAAAAATTCTTAAGAACCTAAAACAACTCCCACAGTACTCATTTACAAAATTTCAAATTCCCTCTTAGCTTGCTAAAATCCCTTAACTAATTAATATTTCAACTAAACAAATCTAACTTCTACTTTACAGACATTTCATAAAGACCAATTTAGCTTCAGTCTACGTAGTCTTCCATTTAATTCCATTTTTCATATTTCCTCTTCCATCAATACATTGGTTACTTTTGGTCCTCTTCACTACTTAACTCTTCTTTAAGTCAATTATATGAATTTTCTTCACGTCTTCTAACTTGCTAGGATTTTGTACTAGTACAGTTGAATCACTCAGAAAATAGCGTATTACGTAAGGTCCAACGTATCTAGGTTAGGCATGGTCATTGACATAAACTAACTTTATTTTCTGCTCAGTCTTTATGGTGTGCCATATATCGAGTGTTTTGTATTGTTCAGTGACAGTGACAATCCAAATTCTTCCAATAAATTTACATCGGTTGGTGCTGTTCTGATAAGCCACTCTTTATGCCACAACCCCCTCTCTTCCACTTTTTATTTTTCTTCAGTGCTGCTAAAATCGCAGCATACGCCATCACCTCCTCCATTTGAGACCACATGTCACACTACAGCACTGCACATAGCAGCTGCAAAACGTAAACTGACTGCACACTTGCCGCTAGGCGGCAAAGATTCAGTCCGGCCGGCAGACAAATCGTTTCGTGTGTGGGGACCCTCCTTTCACAAGTTTCCCTGACAAGTTTGGCCTTCCGGCTCTCGCTGGCCTGCCGATCGTTATGTGTATTTGACAGGTTATTCAACCTTATAATCGTGGTTTATGTCATAAACATAAAAACTTCAATGACTAATAATGACTCCAATTTGTTCTATGACTTCAATGCCATGTGGTTGTGACTTTTTAAATTTTTACTATTTTACATTGCAAGTCCTTGTACAGTTGATGGCCATCACTATTTATAGGGATCATTTAAGATATTTTAATTTTTCAATTTCAATATCTTGATCAGCTAAAAGCCTAATAGAGCAACTGTAGCGTATGAGATGTAATTTTTTTTATGAAAATATTTTTGAATGTTCATAGGCCAGTCCCTGGTGTTAGGAGAAATGAGAAAAACATTAATGAAGGACATGAGACATATACCGGCAGAATTTTCCAGAAAGGGTATAATGAGGGTGTGTCTCAAAACCTCATCGGACAGTTCATTTCGGCACTTGGCTGTAGCTTGAATCCCTTTTCTTTCTTGATTATTCCTCTTGTTCTTTCTTGAGGTTCGAACGAACGCAACGCCAAGTTTATTTCGGGAACTCGCACTGGAAAACTGGTTTCATGGCCAAGTTTAGTTTGCAGGAGATACACTTGAATTCGAGCAGTTAATAAATTACTTTGAAAGAGAATGAACACTTGAGATACTTACTTACGATTCTTTGACGAAGATGGTCAATGTCACGTATCTTACACTTGAATCTTGTTTACTTGAGAAATGTGAGATACAATACAAGGACAACATAAGATTAAACAACTGAGAAGTGATATATGTTAGAGAAGTAATATTTCTCATCTTGTCTTTACAATCATCACCTGATCAAATATTAATTGTCTTGTTTACCTTTTGTATGTTATGGTTTTGGTTTTGGTGTAATTGTTAAAAAAGATGTATCAATAATTTGTTCAGTATAAAATCGTTTTCCATTATATTTCTGGGCTATTTATTACATTACATAACACGATTTAGAGATAGAAATAAGAGCGGTAAACGGTACTAAGCCCCATGTTCAAGACGGCGGTGGTTACACATTGAAAGCAGATTGTCGTGTGTCTGTGGTCTACTGTTTGCAGCTCCGGCGTCACCAGGTCTGCAGCGCCTTGTGGATGTCAACCTTGTAGTTGTGTCGTAGGAAGTTTTAATTAAGACGCACGTGAATCAAATTAACTTATACCGGGTGTCCGAAAAATAACTCCCTAGTTTTATCAAATTTCTGAGGACAGTATTCGTTAGAATGGACAAAAATAATTCTTTGGGCCTGTTGAGTATGCTCTTAAGTTTTAGTTTCGTACGTTGGTATTAAGGTTGGCACACCTGTTTGACCTTGAGCGTGTAGTTCCACCACGCGCCGCGCCGAGCGCTAGACTCGACTGTCTGACTGTCAGTCAGTGCAATGGCTACTCCACAGCAGAAAGCACAGTGCGTAATTTGGTTAGTGGAAACAAAATCTGTTACTACTGTGCAACGTAACTTCAGACGTGAGTATGGTGGCAGTGCACCTGATCCGAAATCAATTCGCAGTTGGTTAAAACAATTTAAGGAGACGGGAAGTGTTTTAAAAGGAAAACGACCGGGTAGGCCATCTGTTTCAGCGGAGAATGTAGAGAGAATCAGAGCCTCATGCCAACTCAGCCCTAAGACGTCACTAATGCGTCGTAGTCTACAATTGGGATTACCAAGATCTACTGTCTACGACGTGGTACGTAAAAGACTGAAATTACATGCGTACAAAATCCAACTGTTCCACAAAATAAAACCAAATGATAAACGCTTAAGGTTAGATTTTGCTGTGGACATTCTCAACAGAATTGATGAGAATCCAAACTACCTGAACAATGTTTTGTTCACTGATGAGTCAACGTTCCATGTTAACGGGGGTTGTAAATCGCCACAACTGCCGAATTTGGGGGTCTGAGAAGCCACGAGAAATTGTTCAACACCAACGAGACTCGCCTAAGGTTAATGTGTGGTGCGGTTTAATGAACGATCGAATTGTTGGACCTTTTATTTTTTGTGAAAACACTATAAATGGCGATATCTACTGTGAAATGCTTGATCTGTACGTGTTTCCACAGGTGGATGACATCGAGGCGGAAAAAGGACTAGTAATATTCCAGCAAGACGGTGCGCCGCCCCATTACAAAAAACATGTGCGCTCGGCCTTAAACGCTCGTTTCCCGGCAAGATGGATGGGGAGAGCTGGCCCGATCGCGTGGCCTCCAAGAAGCCCAGACATAACACCACTGAATATTTTCCTGTGGGGTTACGTTAAGAACTTGGTTTATTCAGAAAAGATACGTGACATTGACCATCTTCGTCAAAGAATCGTAGCTGCAGTAGAATCAGTGACACGTGATATGTTAACTTACACTTGGAGAGAGATCGAATACCGGTTAGATATCTGTAGAGCTACAAATGGGTCACATATCGAGGTGTACTAATGTCAAAATAAACTTGAGTAAACCCTCTTTAATTTCATGTATTAGATATAAGAATATGTATTCTCTACAATAAACAATCGTTTATCAAAACTAGGGAGTTATTTTTCGGACACCCGGTATATTGACACAGTTAAACAATCTCACAATCTTTATACACTCTAAATAGACACCAAATGAGTTAAACCGTGTTTAAACACTGACTGGATTCACGCGGCATGCGTCCTACCTACTTGTTGCATAGCCCCCTCTCAACAAACCGACTATCCACTCCCACGCCCTTAGCCTAGTATTCATGCGCACTTGAAATGAAATGAAATGAAATGAAAATGCTTCTTTATTGAGGCGAACTTAGGACCACATGGTCCTTTCTTACAGTTAACCTCTAAAAAACTAATAATAACAACAAAATAATAACAAAAAATACAATTAAGTTTGTAACATAGCTAGTAATAAAATAGCATAAATCTATTCATTTTCCCTAACATCCAGTCACACACACATACACCCTCTGCTGCATCTAGGCCTAACGCACGCCATCCCGCCAAGCCACGGCCATCCGGTCAAGGTAATATTCTTTCAGCGCCACCATCAGTCGGGATCGGTTTTCTATAGATTTGATGGGCAGAGGTATGGAGTTCCATAGGCGGCAGGCTGTTACTAAAAATGATTTATAACATTTTTTTTATGTTATTTATTTACTTGCACACTCAAAAAGTAGTTCCAAACACTGGTAACTATTTTTAATCGATATTGTCTAGTTCAGGCCCGTCACAAGATCTGGTTTTTTTTCAATCTTCTTAGGCTTTTTTGATTAGTCGTTATTTCAGGTAAAAGTATTTCTATTAAGTTATAGGCTAAGTCAGTATTTTTAAGAAGTTTATGTGACCTTAAAGATCTTTTTGATTGACATACATTTTAAATCCTTATTTCAAAACTATAATAATGACATTTACAAACTTCTTTTGTTGGATGAACTAGATAACCACTACAGTAGGCTACAATAAAAAAAAATTGTCTGGAGTAATTGTAGGTTTTGTTTTTTTAATTTTAACATTAAAGAATCAATATTTTTTAGGAAGACGAATTGAAACACTTTGACAACATCGCTAGTCAGGCAAGAAAAACATTCAAGCCAGATGCTGTTGAAAATCCCAATGATTTAGTTTCAAGAACATTGTCAAATCTGATAATTGATGGTGAGAAATCAGAGTCTCAAATTACTGCAAATAATGATATACAAACGTCAAATACTAAAGAAAACTGTCTAAAATCAACAAATATTATTTTACAGTCAGATTTATTGCCTGAAACTACTTTAACTGATAACCAGGATTCTTTCAAGAGCCAAAGAGTTGTTAACAATGATATAGCTGCATTGAATATTGTTAAAGTGGAAGAGCCAAAGATTGATGTTAGCAATGAGTTTTCTTCATCGTGTAAGTTTAAAGAGAACGAAACTACAGAGAAAAGTAATCTCCCAGATAAATTCCAAGATGATATTCAACAGACTTGTAAAAATAACATTTTAAGTGATGTTATAGCAGAAGTTCCTTCTAGCAAAAATGATATTATATCAATAAAAGAAACAAAAGAAAATAATCCACAAAGTATAACAATAGATCAACCCAAGGAGAAACGTACGAAAAGTAAAAGAGAACCAAATAGTAAGGATGATGCTGAAAATAAAACTATCAATGTTAAAAATACTCTAAAGATTGAAGATGATGACGAGTTAGACTTTTTGTTGTCTATAAAAAAACCAGGAATCCCAGAAAACAAGAAACCTGTCTCCAATGTTGGTAAGTAAAGATCATTTCATATAAGGTAAATGTCCATTTTTCCTACAGTTACCTAACAATGTACATGTTCTCTCACTGATTTGAGAAAGCAAAGTGGCCAATTCGCTCATCAGTGAGACAATGTTAACATTGTCTCACTCTAATTACTTTGTCTCACTCCAGATTTGCAACGTGAAGGCACGAAATAGTGAGCGTGTACCATGCAGGCAACGTCGTATGCGCGCGAAATATGTTGGCAGCACTGGCTGTAAATTAGCTGGTCAGCTGTGTTGTACTATTGTATTTGTCACTTCACATTAAATGTTATATTAAAACAGGGTGTATACCAACCGGGAGAACCGGGAAATAACCTTGAATTTGAAGGGACCTGGAAAAAACCGGGAAAAAGCCGGGATTTTTGGACCGATTCCGGGATTTTTAATTAGGCCTGGTAGAAGATTGTAGTAATAAAATACGTCTTGCCGCGATTGCGGGCGACGACGATGACGTTTCCGTGACCGCGGGAGATGACGATGACGTTTCCGTGACCACTGGGGACGACGATCATGTTTACATGGCTGCGGTAAATATTCATGATTTTGCCGCGATCGCGTACTTCGACGATTACGTTTCCCTAACCGCTGGAGTCAATGATGATGTCTACACGGTTCGGAAGATTTTCATGATTTACCGTGACCGCGAAATGATGATGATTTCTACACGGCCGCGTGAAATGCTCATGATTTTGCCGCGATTGCGGCCGACGACGATGACGTTTACGTGACCGCGGGATCAACGATGATGTATACACTGCCGCGGGAAATATTCATGATTTTGCCGAGATCGCGGACGACGACGATGATTATGTCTACACGGCCGCAGATGCTTATGATTTTGCTGAGATCGCGGACGACGGCGCTGACGTTTCCGTGACCGCGGGAGACGACGATGATTATGTCTACACGGCCGCAGATGCTTATGATTTTGCTGAGATCGCGGACGACGGCGATGACGTTTCCATAACTGCGAGAGGCAATGATGATATCTACACGGCCGCGGGAGATTTTCGTGATTTGCCGTGACCGCGAAAGACGACGATGATGATTTATACACGTCCGCGTGATATTCTCATGATTTTGCCGTGATTGCGGCCGACGACGATGACGTTTCTGTGACCGCGGGAAACGACGATGACGTTTCCGTGACCGCGAGATCAACGATGATGTTTACACTGTCGCGGGAAATATTCATTATTTTGCCGAGATCGTGGACGACGACGATGACGTTTCCGTGACCGCGAGAGACGACGATGATGTAGACACGGCCGCGGGAAAATATCATGATTTTACCGAGATCGCGGACGATGACGATGACGTTTCCGTGACCGCGAGAGACGACGATGATGTAGACACGGCCGCGGGAAAATATCATGGTTTTACCAAGATCGCGGACGATGACGTTTCCGTGACTACTGGAGACGACGATGATGTTTACATGGCTGCGGTAAATATTCATGATTTTGCCGCGATCGCGTTCTTTGACGATTACGTTTCCCTAACCGCTGGAGTCAATGATGATGTCTACACGGCCACGGAAGATTTTCATGATTTGCCGTGACCGCGAAAGATGAAGATTATGATTTCTACACGGCCGTGTGAAATGCTCATGATTTTGCCGAGATCGTGGACGACGACGATGACGTTTCCGTGACCGTGAGAGACGACGATGATGTAGACACGGCCGCGGGAATTATTCATGATTTTGCCGAGATCGCGGACGACGACGAAGACGTTTCCGTGACTGCGGGTAGCAATGATGATGTCTACACGGCCGCGGAAGATTTTCGTGATTTGCCGTGACCGCGAAAGACGACGATGATGATGTCTACACGGCCGCAGGAAATATTCATGATATTGACGAGATCGCGGACGACGACGACGATGACGTTTCCGTGACTACGGGAAGCAATGATGATGTCTACACGGCCGGGGAAGATATTGGTGATTTGCCGTGACCGCGAAAGACGACGGTGAGTACGTCCACACGGCCGCAGATGTTCATGATTTTGCCGCGATCGCGGACGACGACGATGACGTTTACGTGACCGCGGGATCAACGATGATGTTTACACTGCCGCGGGAAATTTTCATGATTTTGCCGAGATCGCGGACGACAACGATGACGTTCCCGTGACCGCGGGAGTCAATGATGTCTACACGGCCTCGGAACATTTTCGTTATTTTGCCGCGATCGCGGATGACGATGATCACGTTTCCGTGATCGCGAGAGACGGCGATAATGTATACATACCGCGGGAGATGTCCAGGATTTTTCTATGATAACGTAAGACTGTGATTACTTTTACGTCACTGTGGGAAGCGACCACACGACCGCAGGAAATATTCAGGATTTTGCCGCCGTTGATAATGTGTTCATAAAGAATGAAGATAATATTCAGGATTTTGCTGCCATCGAGAGAGACGATGTTTCCGTGGCCTTAAGTAATGATGATAATGAAAATTATTACTTAATAAGGATTATTATTTTTTCAACACTAGCTCACTGGACTTGAAACAAATTTGGTGTATATTGTATACTTAAGCTGCAAGTCTTAAATTGATTATAGTTTAAGTGGAACCAAACAGATACGCGGGAACCTGGAAAAACTTTGAAAAACCAGGAAAAAACCTGGAATTTCACTTTAATAAAATAGTATACACCCTGTAAAAGTTCACTTCTGTGTAAAAATAGGTTATGTTTCTTCACCAATTTATTTGTTTTATGGTAACTGTAGGAAAAGTATAATGTGCAACTCGAGTTCAAAGTATGATTGCCTCACTCAAGAAATAATTCCTCACGAGCCGTAGGCGAGTGAGGAAGGATTTCTCTCAAGTGAGTCAATTGCTCACTTTTCTCACTAGTTGCACAAATAACTATTTTTCAAGTAAATCAAATTATATCTTGGTCTTTTTTTGGTTTTTTTCAGTATAGTAGGTATTCACCTTCAATCAATAAAAAGCTGTAACAAAAAGCTGTGGCTGAAGTAGGGCCTAGTATTATCCCTTTACTTCAATCTCATTTTATGAGTTTTATAAGTCTCATTTGAGAAAGGAGAATCATAGTACCGTTCCCATATTCCATGCTTTCTCTTTCAAGATCAAGCCTGTTGCAATATTATACGCTCATTTGATGAATAGAAACTAAAGACAGTTAGGTTTACTATGCTAAACCAATAGCATGCCCTTAATCTCACATCTTACGAATTTTACACAGTTGCTGTGAACTAAAGCACCAAACAATCCTGAACTACACACATACTTAGATTGTCACTGCGAACCATAGCAGTGATCTCACTCTCAGCCTCCCACTACTAGAGCTCGTGCTTTTCCTGGTGAAGCCTGGGGGTAGGTAGGTAGAGTGGCTCAGAACCGGTTTTGTAGGGGCTTCAACCCTACCCCCAGGCTTCACCAGGAAACGCACAAGCTCTAGTAGTGGTATGCGTACCACAGGTTGAGACAGATTGGCCCAGGTTGTTGGCCGAGCTATAGTATTTTAAATTATAGTAAACTTGTACAACTGTTTGCTAAATAGTGAATTTCATCTGTTACAGGACCTACCTTGAAGCCAGGAAGTGCAGCATTATCTCAAGGATCGTCCGACCAACAACATTCTGAGTTAGATGATTGGTTGGACTCTGTGTTGCAAGACTGAGAGCTAATGTGGATATTCATCTTGACTGCAGAAACAGCGTTTCATAGCATGGAACTTTTAATTACAGACAACTTTTATGAAACATTTATATTGTTAAAATGATACAACCAATTTGTCATATTTAATAACTGTATAAAGAATGTAAAATGTAGCCTATTTTAAGTATATTTAAAGTATAAGTATATTTAAAAAAAAAGTTATTTATACAATTTTTTAAGTTTGTAAATAGAATCTTGGTAAAAAAAGTATTGGTTTTCACCGTTTTTGGTGGCAATAAGACTACAAAATACTGGCGGTATGTAATTACTTTGTTGCTATATTATGTCTCTAACCTACCTTCTTTTAAATTTGAGCTCGTTTGTACACGATAGATTATGAAAAAAGACAATATTACTTGTTTACAAAAACATATTGTTGCTCAAACATTTTCTATAGGGTAAAATTTATGAGCAAAACTATTCAATATAGGCCTATGTGATAAAAGTTAAATATTATTAAAACCGATTGAAACAATTTTGTTTATTATAAATTACCCTCCAGCCTAGTCCAAGGCTTCTAAAAAAGAAGTTTCCTAAGACCTGAGTATGACGTAACCCGCTGGCCCGTAAAATTTTAAGGGAATGTTTGATTGAAAGCCAGCCAGGTAAATGGAAATTTCCTTAGTCTGCTCTGCATTTTGCTGCAGCGGGACTATTTATTTCAGCTGCATCTTATATATTAAAAAAACTTATGACAGCTAGTCTGAACATACTACTGGACCAAATTAGACACGGGTTGTACCAAAAGAAAGGTTATCGGTCCTACATGTGCAGGTTTTATTTGTATTTTGAAAATATTTTTGTTTATTGGGTAAGAAAAATGAAAATAAAACTTTTTTATGGAGATTTAACTTGTGGCCAAATCTTTTAACTTATGACAGCCACCCTGACCATACTACTGGACCGATTTACTTGCGGGTTGTACTAAAAGAAAGGTTATCGGTCCTATATGTGCAGGTTTTGTTTTTATTTACAGAATATTTATGTTAATTGGGTCGAAAATGGATATTCAACTTTTCTTAAGGAGATTTAACACGGGGCTAATTCTATGACAAGCATGTTTATTGAAAACCTTTTTTATCAGCTCCTGTGCATCGCAGGGAAAACCTATGCATACTGTTAGAACAATATTTGCCTGTAGATGTGCAGAATCCCTTTATAAATTTAAATAGGCTCAAAATTAAGCCCAAAAAATTAATTTAAAATGTAAAAAAATAAACATATTACTTATGGGTTGCCATTTTGGTGATGAAATAACAACAAAATATAAACGCTAGTACACAGAAAATCAAAACAAAAGGAAGAAATTCCAACCACATGTTTTATTTACAGCGTAGGGTGAAAATAGAGAAGTTTGCACAACACATACTTTTGGTAGAGTTTTCGACCACACAAAGGGCGAGCTCTAGTATAGATTTATTTTTATTTTCTGTTTCATAAGCCTAACATGTTCTATGAGAATACGGGTTATGTCTTAAACGTGCCTTAGGCCACCCAATTTTTGTATCACATCAATCAGACTGGCGCAATGAATAAATATATACCTTATTAATCTAAGTAAATAAAGTGTTCTTTTTATACTTCCTCTTGATATAGAAAAATCTAAATAATCAAGATAATAATTCGATTTATGCTAAAATCATACCAGTGGTGAAACAACTCTGGTAACGTCGAACAGGTGTAAGGCCAAGGGCGAGGTATTGGAACACAGCTGTTTGCTGCTTCCCACTCTTCCCGCTGCATACAGTGTTCTCCTTCTCAGAGAGTACTGCGCAATAGTGATTGCGGAGTAAAACTTTGTGTTTATTGTAGAAGAAGTCGATATACCTCTAACGTATAATAATAAATTGCATAATGGAAACGACTTTTGAAGTCTGCACTAAAGGTAGAGAAAACTCTGCTTTGTAGCTCTGGCTCCTAATTGTATTCTTTAAGGCAAACTGAGTACAGTAGAATCCCTCTTATACGGACCCCTTTTAACCGGACATCGGTTTAACCGGACTACACTTGGCGAAAATGACATCTCTTTAACCGGACAATTTTCATCAGCACATCGGTTTAACCGGACTAGATCACCAGGAAGTGTCAGTACTGAAACAACCGTTCTCGTGGGAAAGATTTGAGACAAGTGATCATGTGTCTAAATACAATGCTCTCCTGAATTTAAGTGAAATACACATTTAAATGGTCTATTTTAACGAGTTTTTGGGGACGTCGGTTTAACCGGAAAAACCGTTATCCGGACTGGTTTCAGTCCCGAGGAGTCCGGATAAGAGGGAGTTCACTGTTGTACTTATGTAAAATAGACTTATCAAAATTCTTTGTTCGCCTTTTAAACAGTGTCTGATTCCTTGGATTTGGTCAGGAAGATTATTTTGTAAAATGTACAGTCTGTTTTAACGATTTGCCAAATTTACCTTTTCCAAACCTGCCAAATTTACAGTTTGAGCTACAACTTCCGCCCAGTCGCGTCACCTGTCTCGAGTCCCCGAGTACTCGGTTGTTTTTTAATGTTAAATGTTCGTCTATCTATGTGCGTTTTTGTGTGTACGTTCTATGTACTTATTTATTAAATAACGACCTTCATGTACGGTGGTGAATAACGACGCCTTGTGTGGCGATGGTTCCTTAGTGAACTGAAACTGTAGTTGCCACAAGCAGCAATTTGGATTACTGAATGCAGGTATTTAAACCATTATAAATATTCAAATGTAATCTGGAGGCCAACAACTCTTGAAAATGAGTTTTGGTGGCTTTCTTGATGGTTTCAAAGGTTTCAGATAAAATTTCTATCCTGTCTGTGCTTTTGTTCAGGTGTGACGATTTTTAACTGCATTTTAGAACACATTTTTTTATGATGAAATATTTGTCTTTTAGGCCTATATGTTGAACTGATTCTTAATCAATTCCTACAGTCCAGGCAACAACAACAAAAAAACGACGATTTTGACGGAAGAGGCTGACTATTTTACATTGTTAAAAAAAAAAATTGTTTAAGTCTGGGGAGTGAATCACCTTTGATATCTTTTCTCCTTTCCTAAAAACACTTATACCACTCAAAAATTTGTGTACGTGACTTACATTGATCCCCATACACGTGTTGTAAGGTAGAATAAGCCACTGTGTGTCTTATTGGGCTTCAAAAAAAATTCTCATTGAAACATTGCTTAACCATATAATTTCATATCAAGTGGCAAATACGATATGACGCGTACACAAAGACTGTATCCGAACCAAGTATCCTAGCACTGTTAAACTCGCTGGAACATGAAGGAGAAATGTCAGGCGAATGGCAATGGCAATACAGTATAGCGTTTGGCAATGAGGCTATCAGATTTTGTATTTTTATTTTATTATTGTTATTTCAATACACCTTGTATCAAAACATTTTAGTTTTTACAGTGGTAAAATGTGGGGTGCATGTCCTTACTTTTAAGTGTTTGCTTATTGATTTTACCTGGTTTAGAAGGAATATTACTTATAATTTAAAACTTTTGTATTTATAGGCTAACATTTTTACTGATGGCAGTTTTTTTGTTAACTAGCTGTTTCAGTTCAGCTCCTAGAATTGAAAAGATTCAATTAACATCATTCTTTGCTTACTTAACAGCATTGTTGTTTTACTTAACAACACGAGTAGCAAACCAATGAGGTTTAAGGATTGAGAAAAAATAAGTAAAACTAACGCTTCAAACTCCAACTAATCAGTTGTTAAGTATTATTTAATTGTTAAATGTTAATGAGTGGTGCAACTAAAGAGAGGTTATAAACAAAAACATAACCTCTCTTTGAAGTTGTGAGTATTGGTGATAGTTGGTAATTAAAAATGGTTAGGTAAAGTTAGTTGTGCAATTCGTGTAAATAAAGACTCGTACCTTAAATTTCTACTCGTGTAGTTAATACTATCTATGCATAAACTACAGATCTATGCTTATAGGTACAGTTGGTAGGATTTTTACTACTTGTGAACTTTGAGATTTTTTTGTTATTGGTTGGTCACTGACGGATGTGCTTGAAATGAAATGAAAAATCCTTTATTTTTTCAGGCAAAGTTAGAGCCACATGGCCCTTTCTTACACTTAACCTTACATTAAACATATAACATAAATAATGTGACATAGGGATAACTTAATCTAATTAAACATAAAATATTTAACAATTCAAGTACCTACATATCTAAAAAAAAAACATAAAAATATAACAAATAGAAAAACACATTCATACACTCTCGCATACACGCATCAGCAAACGCGCAAGGTAACAGTACCCTAGGACACGCCAGCCGAGACCATCTTCTCAAAATAGAGCTTTTTCAGTGCCGCCACAAACTGGGAACGTTTTTCAAGGGTCTTAATGTGTAGGGGTAGGCCGTTCCACAGACGACAAGCGGTAACAACAAAAGCCCTGCCATAAGCTGTGGTCACATGATGAGGTATACGCAATGTGATCGAAGAATAACGAGACATTCGTGAACTACCCTGAGACACAAATTTAAAATCGGATTTGAAATATTTTGGGGAGCCTGATTTCAAAATTGAAAAAAACCAATGACAAAATTTTAATGAATCTTTGATCATTTAATTTCAGGATGTGTGCCTCAAGGTAGTATGGAGTGATATGCTCCATACGTCGCAGACCATAGACAAATCTCAAACAATAATTCTGTGACCGCTGGAGCATACCCGCCTGAGTCGCAGTCAAGTCATTGATCAATGAGTTGCAGTAACTGAAGTGGGGTAGTACAAGTGATTTGATCAAATGTAGTTTAGTGTGTTGTGGTAAAAAATTCTGTAATCTTTTCAATGAATGTATGGAGGCAAAAACCTTTTTTCGTGTGTCCGTAACTGCTATGTCCCAAGTAAGTGAAGAGTTGAAAGATATACCAAGATTCTTGACATTGTGGTAGTATGGAAGTGCTTTGCCATTAACTGTGATTGGATTTATGGAGTCTAAGTCAATTGAAGGTTGAAGTCGAGAATGGCTAATGACAATCGGTTTCGTCTTTTCGTGATTTAGTCTCAGTCCAAGTAACAATTCGGTTGACATCTTCATTGATCCTTCTGACACAGTCGTTTTCATTGTTTGCAGTAAAATGGTCATAGATTTGTAAGTCGTCAGCGTACATGTGGTGTTTACAGTTGACCAAGGTCAAGTTTATGTCATTGACGTACAGTACGAAGAGCAGAGGCCCAAGGATTGACCCTTGAGGCACACCGCATGTAACAGTCACCCAGTCTGATCTCGTGTCACCAAACACCACACATTGCTGCCTATCTGACAGATAAGATCTCAGCCATTTAAGAGAATTATGGGAAAACCCTATGGCCCGTAATATTCTGAACCAGCAGGTCATGATTAACACAGTCAAATGCTTTAGAGAAATCAAATAGAGTTAGAATCGTTCCTTGTCGACGCTCCATAGCAAGTTTTATGTCTTCAGTCCCTCGAAGGAGTGCTGTCTCTGTAGTGTGCTGTC